GGGAGTCTCGGGTGCGGGGGGCATTGCTCTGAGGCGTCCCCTTCTCCTTGCAGGCAGCTGCTTCTGCTACGACAACCCGGCGGCGCTCCAGACGCAGATTCAGCGGGTGAGTAGCTGCCTGGGGCGGGAGCGGAGGCTGGGGAGGTACGGGCAGTGGCCGGGTCGGAAGGCGTACTTGTTTCCAAGTAGTTCTACTTGGATACTCATTCTCTGGCCCTGTAATTATCTTAGGAGTAGTTACTTTTTTTTTAATTCCCCCCTTCTTGATGTAGGATATGAAGGTGAACACAGCTCAGTTCATGGCTCTCTATGCCTGGTATTCCTGGCCCAATGTGGTTCTTTGCTTCTTTGGAGGTTTTCTGATAGACAGAGTTTTTGGAATACGGTAAGTGTGATGTTAGCGTTACTCATGTTCGATGGATGGTAGACTTAAAGTGCATGTGAAGTATAGGCTTTATAATATAAAGTTTTTTCAAATTATAGTAATCTTTTTCAATTTTTTTTTATGTGCTCTAGGAATTTTCATTAGTATAAATGAGTTTCCTTCCCTTTATGGCTTAAATAAAGTGGCTTCAAAAATGCCAGTCTGTACTACCTTTTTTTAAGGAAGCTGTCAAACTGTAACATTTACTATGGAGACCTTTTATTGCATATCAACCTCCCCTTGTTTCCTTGCTGTAGGTCTAATATAGTGTTTTATAGGAAAAAGTATTCTAGCTATGCATTAAGTGATTTTATTTTTCTTACAGGTTGGGCACTGTAGTATTTAGTATCTTTGTTTGTGTCGGGCAGGTAAGTGCAAATGAGAGGGTGAGGGATGATACGTGTCTGAAGCTTCTCTACTGGGGGTGGGGGGAAAAAAGCCCAAATGACTTCTTGTGTAGTACTGTATATTTCAGATGGGAGTAGGCAGGTGAAGAGAACTGAAATGGGAGAACCCTGAATTTTATCGGGGTAGTTGGGAACAGATGGGGTGAATGGGAACAGAGGACCTTGAAAGATGAGTGAAATAAGAATGTAGGAAGGAACCAAATGTTTTATCTGTTTGATGTGAAACTACCCCTATAGTTGTATTTGGGTAGGGTGTGATGATAACAGTGAAGCATGACTTGAGCCTCTAGAAGTGTTTTCTGAGTGCAGTTTCAGGGTGGGCCAGGTTGGGTATTGTTGCGTAGCCAGCAGAATGGTGAATCAGAGATGCAGAGGGAGCAAAGGCAAAAAGCTAGGAGTAGGAAGTGGGTGTGAAGTATTTCTGCAGGTCTGGGAAGGGAAAACCGGTTTTTTTTCTGTTTTCAGATGGTTCTAGTTTGTTCCATACTTCAAATATAAAATTATAATTTTTCCTTAAATGTTTATTTCACAGGCAATTTTTGCTTTGGGAGCGCTACTTAATACTTTTTGGCTGATGAACATGGGAAGATTCATATTTGGGTAAGTCTAGAAGAGTATAGAATGTGCTCTCTGAGGTAAGGACCATCTTTCTGTGTCCTAGAAAACTGCTACTGTGTTTACACTCAGAGACAAAATTGTAGGATTTTGAGGCATCTATAAAGTTGAGACATGAAAGATCTTCAGTCGCATTCCCAGTCTAACTTAAAAGTTAGAGAGCAAAAAATAGGACTTTGCAGGTCTTACTGAATTCAGAAATTATGAAACTACCCACATAAAGACATTCAGTAAGCTGATAAAACTGTGTTAGTTCTCCTTTTTTCTTAATTCTTACTTTCCTGAGTAAAAAGAATTCTTAGCAACAAAAAATACAACAGGGCTCCTATGGTGGTAAAAAATGAGAGCAAATGTCAGAAGAAATACCTCCAAGTTGTGAATGTGCCACAGCATAAAAGTGTTAGAAAGTCTGACCAACTGTATTGGGGGGTTGGCAGATGATTCCATTGAATTCTGATTCCAGGTAAGATGCCTGCTTTTGGTTTCATTTGGGTCAGGATCTATACCACTTGGTTCTTTAATGCAGAAGAGAAATGAGAAGCTGCTGCCCATTGATTGAATTTCTGTAAATGGCCAAAGGCAATTATAATCACTCCCTAGACTATTTAAGATACCTTGTACTCTTAATTGTTCTTAAGACACTGCAATTCTCTTTTGAATTGTCTTTAAGACTTCTATTGCCTTGTATGTATGTGTTAGATTTACCTGTACACAAATAAATTTCTCTGAAATACCGTCATCTTGGTATTGCCAGCAACTGATGGACTGCTTCCTTGTTGCTTTGCATGTTGCAATTGGTTTATGTCTTCCTTCTTTTTTAGAATAGGCGGAGAGTCCTTAGCGGTGGCACAAAACACGTATGCAGTCAGTTGGTTTAAAGGCAAGGAGTTAAATCTTGTGTTTGGATTACAACTAAGCATGGCCAGAATTGTAAGTGTAAAACTGTATAGCTTTAATTCATAGACTTTCAGGTGTGTGGCTTGTCTTGGCAGCGAGACAGGTGGAAAACAGCATTTCTAATGCTCCCTAGGGAGTTGTAGTTAAAAATGGATGTGAAATTAAAATGTAAAATGTTAAAAATTTGTGGTAAATAGACACAGGATACACAAGGAAGCAGGTTAATAAGATTTCTTAGAACCTGTTGAACTTCTAAGGAAGCCTGATGGTGTTACTAGTATAGATTTCTGGGTGGGACAGTCACAGTGCTGCATTTCATCAGACTAATTGATTCTTGGCATATCATAAAATGTTGGCTTAACTGAGTGTAGCTGTGGCTTGAGGTCTAAGTGCAGGCTCTGATAAATGAGTTGGGACGGCTGCTTTAAGAAACTCCCATCCTTATCTGCTATTGTAAGACATTTTTGTCCCTGTTGCTGGTTCTGATAGGAACTGTGTGACTGCATCTCAGCTGTCCCGTTTAGGTTTGATATAATCACTTAAACTGCTGCTAGAGGTGGGTGTACACTAATACACCAGGCTGTGAATGAAGAGGGGGCAGACCTGCCTCTGCTGTTAGGGGTCCTCATCAGCAGCCTGTGGTATCTTAAACCATCGCAGGTATTTACCTCGGTAAAAGAGAGTTAGCTGGTCACAGCTGGGTCTGGGTTGATGTTCAGACTGTTGCTAATTAGCAGTTACCTCATCTCAGCTGAACTGTAGTTAAACTGTCTGTTGTTAGCCTTGGGATTACAGCCATGGATCCCTTCTCTAGGGGGAGAAGGGGAAAAAAAAAATGTGCTTCCTGATGCCTCTCAGGAGGGAATCCTGTTTGCTTTAACATGTGGTATTAAATTCAACTCAGTTTATGAGCTAATGCAGTGTATGATGTAGATTTTATGGCACTTCTAATGTCACTGTTAGAGTTGTATAAAACTTCAGTTTGTGATGGTAGGTTGTTGTTGTTGCAGTGGTTAATTTATTACAAACACTGATCAAACCAGCAGGGAATAATTTTATCATTGTTGGTGGTGGTTTTTGTTCCCTGTGTAGCATCTTACCTGTTTGTTTTGAACACTGTTCAATAAGCAATCTGCCTAATGTTCCTTTTGAATTCATATAACTGTGGAATACATTATTCTTCACATGAGTCTGTTCTGCCTAGGGGAGCACAGTGAACATGAATATCATGGGATGGATATACTCTAGAGTTCGAGATCTTCTGGGGTATACTGGTCCCAGTACTCTTGGGTTAACTCTCATGATAGGTCAGTAATATTTTGAATTGATGTCACCTGCTATTTTAGGCTTCTGAATTTGAACAGTGTGCATGTTAATGATTTCTTACTAACCTGAAAATAGGACAAATACATTTGAGACTAGGAAGAGCAATTCAAATGCTGTTTGTATCAATGGCTAATATTCTTATGCAGAGTGTATGATTACTTCGTCTGATAAAATGCTGTGTGATGTTTGTGGTTGCCAAATTCAAGTTTGTATCTTACGGAGATGAAACACTTAACATGCTTTGAGTAAAGGACAGACTTGAAAAATTTTCTGAAGGATATCACGTCAAAGCTTGCGTGTAGTTGTCTGATGTGTAAAAGTGAAATTTAAACTACCTTTGGATCTGTGTTCCTTTCCTGCAGAGCCATGGGTATTAAGGCCCTGGTTCTGGTATTAAGGCCCTGGTTCTGGTATCAAGGCCCAGGCTTTGTTTCTGTTATTACGAGGTACAAATAAGGAGCTCGGCTGTGCTGAGTAGGAGTGGTGGTAATGTTTTAAATGAAATAAATGTAGCTACATGTTTGTACTCTAGTTCAAGGCAGATGTCTCTCATATGGCAGGCTTCAGTATTTACACCTTACTCTTGAGTTGTACAGCTGTTGAGTCTTATACATAAGGCAAACTGGTGTTATACTTGGTTTGTATTAGATATATAAAGGTATGCTACACTAATTTTGCTTAAAAGCCAAGTTACTACTTGAGTCAACAACTAAATGTGTCGCATTGCCTTCTTGCAGGTGGCGTAACGTGTCTCTTTTCACTGATCTGTGCATTAATCCTTGCTTATCTGGACAAAAGAGCAGAGAAGCTCCTTTGTAAAGAGCAAGGGAAAACAGGTGAGTGGTGTGGCTGAACCTGCCTTGGCCTTCATCCTTTCATTCTGGAACAGACCCTTCCAGTTACTCTGCGCACTGTGCAGGTTTCCATTTTACGTAATTCAGTGGTTGCTGCTTAACATCTTTTTCACAGTTATAGCTTTAATCATAATTTTTATTTTATATCAGTAGGAAGTTTTACAGTTTTAATGCATCTACGTGTAAATTGATGTTTATCTGCTTTATTTAGAAAGCATGTGGAGAGCCTCCCAGTTCACACCAATTTGATCTGTGCCATTGCCACTGGTACTTTGTTTTCTTGGAATTGGTCTTATTTCCTTCAATAGGTGTGCAAAAACATGCAGCTCTTCTCTATCAATGTGTGATGTTTTGAGTTTTCCATGTGGGAGAATTTAGACCAATTAAAAATAAACTAAATTTGAGGTCCAAATAAGAGCATATAATGTGAGGCTTTGGACATGAGTTTTGCTAGCTGATTAAACATTTCCTTAAAAAAGTGGTTTGTATTTAATTCTCCTGCATAAGACTTTCAGAGGCTTTAGAGAACTTGTACATCCAGCTTAATGTGGGAGAGACAATTTGTTCTTGACTTTGGCACTGTTGATTTAGGACTTGTATATTCTTAACTGACTCTCACTGTGTAAACTTTAAACAAGAGAGTAGATAGTGGCAGGAATATATGCTTTAGTAGTGACTTGTGATCACCTTAATGTTTATTCAGTGTGGATGAATTTCAGATATGCTTATGCTGACTGAAACAATATTGCTCTTGCCCCATTGCAGGTGAAGTGATGAAGCTAACCGATGTGAAGGACTTCTCTTTGTCCTTGTGGCTTATCTTTGTAATCTGTGTCTGTTACTATGCAGCGGTTTTTCCTTTCATTGGACTTGGAAAGTACGTGTTTCTCACTTATGTAGCTATTCCCCTTGAATTTGGTTAGGGTTTTAACTAGCTACTTGCAAAGGGAGAGGTGCAGGCTAATATTTAAGAATCCCAGATGGCTACAGAACCAGTGGTCTCCCAGCAAGTCTGTGCTGTGTTTTGTCATTTCTGCTGTGGCATTGTTTGCTATACTTGCGATACCAATTAACAAAACTCTTACAGTTTCTTTATCTGCTGAGCTTTGTGGGAAATACCATTGCTTGGCATAGGCTGAGTTGTCAGAACTCAAAAGCATAATGCATGCTCCATTTCCTGATTAAAACTTGATAAAGATTTAAAGCGTGGCATGAGTTTTGGTGTGGAGAGCTGTGAACAGCTGTTGTATAGAATTCCTTCCACGCTTACAAGCTATTGACTGAGTGCGAGGTGGGGGCTTAAATGTAGTTACAACTTCAGACTGAAGTTCTCTTACTGTGCTGACTTCGGTATATATCAAGTTGAAACATGAAGCATTCATATGTAGGTTTCCCTTTTGAACCATATGACTTGATCTAATAGCTCAGTTAAATAGTATTGAATATACTTGGAATTAGAAACAGATCTCTTGAGGTCAGTGCATGTTTTACCTTGAGTGAGATGGAAAAGTCTCAGATGACTTGGAGAGGCCTTACAGTTAGCAGTGTAGATGCCTACTTTTTGCTTGTGCATGTATTCTAAAAATTCTCGCTTTAGTCTCTTGCAGTATGCTCATTGCTAATGTCTCATTATTGGGTTACATGTTGGTTATGTACTTTGGATGTTTTCCCCAAAGTGTAATTTGAATAGTCCTTAGACAAAAATTCGTGGAGTCTGATAATAAGCTCCTAAATACATTTTACATGAGGATCTGTGACAGGATGTTTATGTCAAAGCTATATAGCCATATTTAAAAGTTTCCTGTAAACGAGGTTGTTGTCTAGCTTAATTTTTCTTGCATGTCATACAAGTGTGCATTTTTCTAAATCTGTTTTTTTCCTTCAGGGTTTTCTTTATTGAGAAATTCAAATTCTCATCTCAAGAAGCAAGTGCAATTAACAGGTATATTGTGGTTGATTTAACAAGTAAATGTGCTACTGCTGTGTTCTAGGGGGTGTATGTATCTTCAGGCTCTCACCATGTGGGGGCAAGTTTGGGATCTACTGTTGCAGGTGGTGACTTGCATTTAAGTGGACAGATAGATTTCACATGGCCCAAGGAATAATTGGGAGGTGTGGGTATTTGTTTAAATAAAAATGTCTTAGATGTTCACATTGAGGAATCAGAAAGAAAAGGCTCTGTCTGAAGGGTATTATTTTAGTATTTGGGGATTCCCTTCTGAGTGATAGAAACAGTTTAATAGCAGCACTAAATGAACTAAATTTTCCTAGTTTGAAGATGAATTTGTGATGTGGCAAAAAAACCCTAAAAAACCCCAACAGCAACAACAAAACACTTGCTGGTGTATGATTCCAAGAGCTCCCGAATATGTCACTATTTCCTTGGATGTTGAAAGTTTTCATGTCCTCAGACTTTTTGGGAATTTTGAGTTCTGGAGTCTGTTGTTTGGGGGCAGTGGTTTGTGTGGTTTGTCTTATGGCCTTACAGATAACAAGGGAATATGGTGTTTTGTCTGGAGACACTTGTATCGTGTAACACCTATAGCTGTCCATGGCTAGCTGGTGTTCAGTTCTCGTATTTTTATTCTTTTGTAGTATTGTGTATATCATATCGGCATCCATGTCCCCAGTCTTTGGTCTCCTGGTGGATAAACTTGGAAAGAATATCATCTGGGTTTTATGTGCTATAATAGCTACACTTGCTTCTCATGTAATGTTGGCTTTTACCTTCTGGAACCCCTGGATAGCAATGGTAACTAATTCTCTGAGACTTACAGCTAAATATGATAAAGTAAGAAATGGAGTTGATGGTGAATTATTCTGCATAAATTGCCACTGTCTTCTGACTGTTTAGGTAGTCCTCAAACCTATTTTGATATCGCTGACTTTAAGAAGGATAGACTATGTGAAACTGAGTTTAAAACTAAAGATGGTGAAAAAGCAAAGAATGCATAATGCAGGCAAAACTAACATGAGCTGTCTGCAGCCTAAAGATAACACTTCAGGCTTTGGTGTTTTGTGGAGGGAGGCAGTAGTTATGCATGTGTGTTTTGAGGTGGAGAAGATTGGCTGCTGTCTGTAGCAGTAATTCTATAGTTGTTTAGTGCAAAAGGGTGTTCAGCTTCTTAGGAAGGATGGGATTAGACCGAGTAGCAATTCCTTGTCCCTTCAGAGAAGGCCTTAATTCGTCACAGTATATGTGGTTTGGTGGTGCTCTGTTGCAGAGGTCTGCTGTCATGCTTCATGGACAGTCTTTACGCTAGTTATTATTAGATAACTGTAAGTGCTCGCTTTTCTCCTAGAACTTGTTCTTTTGGTGTGGTTATGAAGCTTATTACTATCATATAATTAAACCACTTTCAATTATTTTAAACTGTCTCTAACGTGCTGTATTGGATAGTGGTAATAAAAATACTCGTTATTGATTTCCCCTTCCTAGGGCAGATTCCATGAGAAATTGCTTTTGAACTAAGGTTTACTAAGGCTTAAATACGGCGCTCACCAGTGTATCAGGGTTAAAAATAGGGTCCTTGTTTTTCAGGTATTTTTCTAGTGAGTTGCAGCATTGATCTTTTCCTCTGGGTATTCAAGCCAGGCTCTTTAGTTAGTGCTAATTAGATAGGGTTTAGTTTTTAGGTCACTCCTGGAAAAAGTTCTCTTTCCTCCTAAATGTGCATATTTATTTAGAACGGTATTGCAAAAAGTGTTACTTTAGCTCTTTTTCCCCTCTTTTGGGAGAAGGGGAAAACCAATATGTTCATTTATTAGAACTTCACAGCAAAAATGCATCTCATCTAACATCTGTTTACTTGTTCTTACTTATTTCGCCAGTGTTTGCTAGGAGTGGCCTACTCATTGCTTGCCTGTGCCCTGTGGCCCATGGTGGCCTTTGTTGTTCCAGAACACCAGCTGGGCACTGCCTATGGCTTGTAAGTATGTAGATCTGTCTGCTTATGCTGCTCTACAGTGACCATGTCCTGATACTATTGAACCACTCAATATCAAGCAATTCTAACACGTTAATGGTTAATAATTCTTCCAAGTCCAGTCTAGCAGGAAGTCTTTTCCAGGATGTATATGTGTGATAGAGCAGGTGCTTGTGGTCGATGCACAGAAACTTCTGCAAAAATATGGAGTCATGACTGTCATATGTCATAACAAATGGGGAGAAGTTAATCTCATTGTTTGTTCAGTGCTGCTAATGATGTTTGTTTTAAAAATAAATTTCTACACGGTGGTAATCCTTTGTTTATGTGTTAGTATGCAGTCTATCCAGAATCTCGGTCTGGCAGTTATTGCTATAGCAGCTGGGATGATTCTGGACAGAAGAGGATACTTGTTTCTTGAAGTCTTCTTCAGTGCTTGTGTTTGCTGTAAGTATTAAAAACATTGAAAATGGATTCTCTACATTCAGGAAGCTTTATTAGGCTTTTTTTCTTAATATTTACTGTAAAACAGTAGTAACTTCTTTCTTACAGTTAGAGCTTTCAACTGGGGCAACGCTGAAAGTAAATCAAACCTAGTGAAGTGTTTTATGGTTTTCTTGAAGCGATTTAGTGTAAGTAGTTTCAGTGTTTCAAAAAAAATGAAGAGTGAGTAAAAGGGTAGGTGAATGGTACTCTTAAAGGCTATATTTATGAGGGCTGTTACAAAACTAAAACAACCAACCTTTTCTGAGTTACCATGGTACTTATGAGCACAGTGGAATTTTCAAAAGCAATTAAGAGATGCTGCTGGCAAAAATCTCCCCTCAATTACTACTATCATGAAAAAACTTAGTTATTGCTTGGTTGTATGTTAAAGCTGTTCTTCTGTCATTGTTGTAAATGTATTGTCAGCTAAAACCGTTCCTTTGGGTTTTTTTAGTGTCACTAATAGCTGTAGTCATGCTGTATTTTGTGAATCATCTCACAGGTAAGTGTTTTCAGCTTCTCTTGATATTTATTTTTATTATAATTCTTGAAGTTATCAAGCTGAACTGTTTACAAGTGGTGTTGTGTGGTCCTGTCAGGTGCTATAGCTCATGGCTTTGGTACCAGGAGCATCTCTAAATGAGGCCTGTCCTTGTAACATCATCTTCATAGATGCTGTAGTGTGTAATTCCCTGAACCTTGCTGTGATGTTAAATCTCATCGGCAGGGCAGCGGTACTTATCCCTTCAGCCGACTGGAACAAATGTGTAGGGTATTCTGCAGCTTTTTTTAAACTGTGAATCAAACTTGACAGTATACGTATCTGCAAATATAAAAACTTAATTCTGTAGACTTACCTTCAAATAGCAGTGTTCTTTCTCAACTGTTTTTTGAAGCAGTAACTACTGAAAGATCTGGAAGGGCTATTAATTTGTTTCGTTCAAAGTTGCTTCCACTTTCTTTAGTTCTATGGGGTCTTACGGTGAGTTGTAGAAAAAGTTCATTGTTACCCAACAGAAAACTGGATCAGGCATGAGAGCTTAGTTTGGATCCTGATTTTGCTTGCTCGGATGATAATGAACACGTTGCTCTTTCCTTTTACCTCAGTTTCTACTTTTGTAAAATTACTCCACTGATTTCTTTTGTGGAGTGCTCTGAGAACTTCTGTAGTGAGGTATGAAGACCAATTTTAAAAGTTTCAAAGTGTGTATTACTTCCATTGCAGGTGGTGATCTCAACTGGTCTGCAAAGAAAAGGGAAAAACTGCAAAAAGTAGCTGCAACTGAGTAAGTATAAAGAACAATAAAGGACAATGTCCTTATGAAATGTTTAACCTGAAGTAATTAAGTGGATTACTGTTTGAAGTCAGTCTCTTTTGTAGGTCTGCCATTTGTATTGAAAGCTTTTTTTTTTTCTTCTTACCAGTTAGTAGTAGGATTTCATATTCCTGCCTCCTGTGAATGAAGTGGCAATTAACCAGGTGTCCTTTCCTGGCACTCTTCCTTGTTATTTTTCTTCAGTTCAGTGGCCTTCCAACTGTGTGGAACTAAAGTGTGTTTAAAAAATGTTGTATCACTTACTTAAAAATGTGGTTCATTTATATGGGGTGTACCTGACCCAGTCAGCAGCAAACATTACCTGGGTTTAATGTCAGGTAATGCATGGACCAATTTTTTAAAGTGTCATTAAAAGCTAGATCTCTCTTCAGAAGAAACTACACTCCAGTCACCTTCCCTTCAGTTTCAGCTTGCTCCTCTTGCTGTCTTATTTAGAAGTCTTAATTCAACTTGTCTCTGAAAACTGTGGCTTAAGCCTAAATTGCAGGGCTAATATGAAACTCAGCGTGTGGTCAGATCTGTGTCATAAGTGTTATTGATTACAGTGAAAAGTTTCCATTTTTAGAAAGAAAATGGGGCAGGGGTATTTCAATAAAATGGAATCCACTTCCTTTAAAAGGAAATGGAGCACTTGAGGTGGGCTTAGGGCAGAAATTGTTGAAATGAGCAAGTTTTGACAGTTCATCCAATTAAGCAAATTTCATTCTGTGAGAGACTTGTATGTCCTGCTTGCTTCTCTGCAGAAAATAAGGGCAGTGACACTCTTCAGAGTAGTAACTTAAAAAATTCTCTTCCTTGGTCTTGACAAAACACTGGTGATGTATTAAGGGTCCTTTGCTGTGTGCAGCCCTAGCAGCTGGAATCAGGTACTCTTGCTTTTTAAGAGTGTTATTTGAGCAAACATGAAGGTATTGGTCACCTGCTGTTGGGGTATCCCCTGAGTTCTAGGGCACTGGATTTATCCCCTCTGCACAGTAGAAATTTTACTCGCTTTTTTATTTGCTGTCTGAGAATGCTAAATGAGGGGTAAAGCTTTCAATGGATATGGAATGCTGTACAAGGGAATAAAATAGTGGGTTAGTCCTATAACTTTCAAAATTGACTTGTATTGGGGGAAGAGGAGAGAAGAAGCATTGTATAGCAAAGTCCATTAAGAGATGTCATCTTAAAGGCAAAACAAAAGACCCTTCCATTTCAGCTTCTCCATTATCTACTTAACTGTCTAGAAAAATTGCTTTTTTTAAGTAGACATAATGTAAAGTCTGTCCGTCAGACTGAGTTTGGGCAACTTAGTTTGTCCTGATGACCGTGTTGAAGATTATGCTCCTAGTAGTGTCTCAGCACCCAAAAATTATGTTACCTTCTCCTAGTTGTAATTAGTGCTGTGAAGGTTAAAAATATGTGCCTTGGAGAATGTAATGTCAATGGGGATGAAGTCTTGGTTAATGTATTGATAATTTTTTAATATATTTAAAGCAAATGTTTAATTTGCTTAAGGGTAGAACAAGTCTAAGAAATCTGAGGTTCTGCTCCTCCGATCTGAATTTGTTTTGGTGAGATTATTATTGAGAACTGTTGGAGAGGGCACAGTATATGTGTTTCATGACTCTAGTCATAGTTTAACATTTGTCATGTGAAAGAGTAAGTCAATATGCAGCAAGTCACAGCTTTCAAGATAACATCTGTAGAATTCAAGCTGCTTATATGTGAACAACACAGAATTTTTCTTTTGAAATGCTTACTGTTCTGACCTAATTCAGCTCAATGAGTCTCTTCAGATCTTGAAGCTCATTTGCTGTAATGTTGTTGGAATTCTTTACTTTTTAATAGGTAACTACATTTCATCTGCAGATACTATACATCTCACAGCTTATATATAAGTTCGTTCCAGATAAATACTTTGCTAACAAGACATCTTTTATAAATGGACTTTATGGACTTCTCTAAAACAGGGCTGTGTAACTGTCCATCTAATGATACTTAAGTTAGTCTCGAAAAAAGCCAAAACACCTGTCAACAAGGTCTAGCCAGGTGACTTGTGGGGTTTAACATGGTTTTGTTTCTTGTCCTGATTTGTGGGCTTTTTACACATCAGTCTTGAGGAAAGCTCAAGGAAACTAAAACCTCACCAGACCTGGTGAGCATGGTAGCTTGGTTGTGATGAGTATCATCCTTGAGCCAAAAGGTCACAGCCAGTTTTTAGTACAAGTGTAACAAAAACCCACCACCTTGTACCCAGGAGCAAAGGAATTCTGTGTCCAAAGAGAACTGCTTTTCAATCTGCCTGGCCCATGTGGAATGTGTGTAACACTTCCAGTATTTACTGTGAAAGATGGCTATGTATTAGTGTATGCTAATGGGATATAGTGTCTTAGAACAATATTTTCAGTAATATCTATTACAATGTTTTTTGCAGAAAAGAAATTTGAATAGGAAATATCATCCAGAAGTGGGGAGCATTTGATCAGCATCATGTCAACTTGAAGAATTATAGTGTTGTTTAGTTTGGTGGTCAGCACTGGACAGTAGTTCTTTGGAAAAGAAACTAACATGCTGGGGATTTTACAGTAAATGGCTAAATTTTATGCTTTGTAACCAGTTTTAACTAATGCCAAATCATCTCTTCACTTGAACAGAATGGGTTTACAGCAGTTTACACTGTGTTTAAGCACTGTCATTGGAGAGGGTACTCTGCAACCCAAGACAAACATGTTCATCTTAAGATAAAGACTAGTATAAAGTGTCTTCTGTGTGCGGCACTACCATTTTGGTGGGGGTGGAGATTTCTTAACGTAATGGCATTTTATGTTCTGTAATAAGGCTCATTGCCTTACAGAGCTTAGAAATGGGTCATTGTTACTACCTTTGTCACTGTCATAATGCAAAAACCACTCTTTTAGGCTAAGTGTGCGTAGAGCTCTGGTCCTGTTTCTCTGGTCAAATATTGACTCTTTGTAGGAGACTGCTATTCTGAAGACTGCTGAGCAGTCTTTTATTTGCATTTTGGACAATTGATTCTTTTTGTATTGTAATCTTTATTTTAAGGAGTGAAAGCTTGTTTAATAAAGAGATAGTAAAAATTGTTACAAAAGCTCACTGAGCATATTGTAATCTGTGAAAACAAAAAGGTTTATCTTTCTACTGAAGTCTTGTAATCTAAATAAAGGGAAACTGCAGAAAACAGCCTCTCTCTTTCTTTATGCTGAATTAGAGTAATCCATACGCATCTCTTAGTCCTTTAATCTGATACCCAGTATTCATCTATAAACATTACAAGCTTTTTCTAGTTATTAAAAATAGAACTGCATACACAAGATAAAGTTGCTTGAGTTTGCACTCCTTAGTGCAAATATCTTAAACTAATTTTCTTTTCCAGAGTGGAAGAACAAGAGAGACTCAGACGTCAAAATGAAGATGACTTGGCTAAATTACAGCCAAAAGCTGATGACTTTAGTTTAAGGAATAAATACCTCTCCAAACTAGGCACTCAGGTATTAGTAACAAAGTAGGGGCTTTAACAGTGAAGAATAGAACAAAGATGTCTATTTTAAGAATGTGGCTTATTGTTTCAAATAGGCAGCAAATCGACCTCTGATTAAAATGCTAAATGTATGCTTGTTCTCAGAAATGAAGTCTCACCAATGATAATTAAAAATCTAATGAAGAAAATGAATCAGTGGCTGACGGACCAAATAAGCTGAGGAACAGGCTTATTATGATGCATAATTTTTTAATTTTATTTTTTTGCAGCTACCAGATACTTACTCTTCCTATTTATCGACAATGATACACAGAAGTGTGTTGAAATAGCATCTTGCCCCACTTGCAAAAGCAGAAATACATTGAAGTTCCAGGTGCACAAAACTTTGTTTCCAGTACTGACAACTACCACAGCAAAAGCAGAGTGATGCACCATACTTTTCTGCAAGCATAGGTCCTATTTTTAAAGTACTTGGCTTAAGCTCCCCCTCCACACCGTAGGTAAGTAACACAGATACCGATGAAGAGCCATCTGGCTGTTTATTTGAACCCATGAGCTACGTACTACACCCTCCTGTCTAAAATACTCAGCGAGCAGCTCGAATCAATAGCTAAGACTTGATCTCACTATATAACGATGTCTGGAAAAAAGCTTTGTTTCAGTAGCCAAACTGCTGTGAAATGAGCCTTGATGAAGGTATGGATTATATAACTTCTCAAGTTGGACAACTTTGTTACCATGTTGGAAATGGTCTGTTTCATTTTTCTTACCGAAAAATGTGAGGGAGGACTACCTTTTTATTTTGGCCCAAGTAAATACTTCAGAGGAAATCAAACTATACAATTTCAGCGTTATGGTTCAAAAAGTCCCAGCCCTGGAATTTAATAGTAGGTCACAGGCTTAGCAATAAGCCTCATGTAAGTCCTGAATAATGTGAAAATTTATGTATTTTTAAGAGGTTGTGACTAAAAACTGTGAAAAGAGTTAAATGCAAGAACTGAAGTTTGACTTTCAGTGGGGAAAGTTGTTCAATTTCATAATGAAACTTAACGCTTTCCCATAACTTCAGTGGAAGGCTTGTTGCCTAATAGCTGGTTCCTAGCAACTCCTGCAGAGTGCTTTTTACTTTTTGTTATTCATGTAACAAAGCTTACTTACGTAAGAATTTTACTCGCTTATGTAATTGGACAAACTGTTCCTAAACTAAGCTAATTTTACTGTAAAAGGCAAGAGCATTGGGCTTTCTGGAGCAGTAGGTACACCAAACGAAGAGCTGCTATACAGGTAGAGGATAAGGTGCACAGGGGTGAGTGAGCTTTCCGTCGCTGACTTCAGGGAGTCCTTGTGTGCCATGAAATGCTTTAGGGCCTTTGATGAATTACTAGAGAAAGTTTGTTATAACAAAAATGTTACATTATACCTGTAATAATTTTTTTTTGCCTACAGTAATTTAAGCAGACCTTCTGGTCTTA